CTCGGGGCCCTCTTGGGCCATCTTGGAGGCCGCTTGGGGCCCTCTTGGCCCGTCTTGCGGCCCTCTTGGGCCCGAACAGGTCGCGCGCTACCCTTGGGCAAAGACCAGAGGGGGCACGCGGGAAGCCTAAGGGGGCACGCGGGAAGCCTCAAGAGATTTCGGAATGTGGGGTCCGGGCCCCGTAAAGACCCGCGAGGACACGCCCAGGACCTGAGGACATGCCCACTCCGTGCCCCGCGGCACGGTGGCGGATACACACACGTACACATACGCATAGTTTAATATATATATATATACTATACGACCACTCTTCGAGTGATAAGGAGGCTCGGGGGGGGAGGAACCAATTTCTCACCCGTTCGGTCTCACTATCGATCTCACTATCGATCGCACTATCGGTTTCGCTCGATCGATCTCAGCCGATCGATCTCACAATCGATCTCACTCGATCTATTTCATTCGATCAATATCAGAAATGATATGGCTATCGATATCACCACCGATCTCACTATCGATCTCACAATCGATCTTACATTCGGTCTCACTATCGACATCACTATCTATATCACAATCGATCTCATTATCAACGTCATCATCATCATCCACGTCATCAACTGCATCATCATCGGGACACCATCATCATCACCGCCATTTCATCACCATCACCATCAACATCATCATCACCATCATCACCATCATCATCGGGACACCACCATTATCACCATCATCATCATCATCAACAACATCATCATCGGGACACCATCATCAGCATCAGCATCGGGACACCACCATCATCACCATCATTTCATCATCATGAACAGCATCATCGACATCTTCATCATCGGAACACCGTCATCATCATCAGCAACATGATCATCATCATCAACATCATATTCATCATCGGGACACCACCATCATCGTCACCATCATCATCATCGGGGCGCCATCATCATCATCAACATCAGCATTATCATCATTGGGCCACCATCATCAGAATTATTATCATCACCTCACCATCATCATCAACATCATCATCTTCGGGACACCATCATCAGCATCATCATCAGCATCATCATCGGGACACCATCATAATTACCATTACCATCAACCGCATCATCATCAACCTTCCTATTTGCATTACCGTCATCATCATCATCATCATCATCGGGACACCATCATCATCATTATCGTCATCATCTCATCATCATATCATCATCGGCAGCGTCAGAATCAGCAACATCGTCATCCGGATCCCGTCATCGTCATCATCAGCAGCATCGTCATAAACATCATCATCTTCGGGACACCATCATCATCACCACCATGGTCATCATCATCTTCATCATCATCATCAACATCGTCAACACCATTATTATCCTCAGCATCATCATCAACGGGACACCATCATCATCACCACCATCACCATCATCATCATCATCATCAACAACAACAACATCATCGACATCATCATCATAATCATCATCGGGACACCGACGGGACACCGGCGGGACACCGGCGGGACACCGCGCCCCACCGGCCCCCGGAAAGGAAACATTTGGTCCGGCTGCGCCTCAGCCGGAGGCGGGACACCGGCGGGACACCGCGCCCCACCAGCCCCCGGAAAGGAAACATTTGGTCCAGCCGCGCCTCAGCCGGAGGAGACTTCCTTCTCGCCCGCCCACGCAGCTTCGCCTCGCCCGCACGCACGGCACGCACGAACACGAAACCGAAACCGACTTCCCGGCATGGGGGCTCTCCGTTCCACTTCGATCTCACTCCGTCATCTCCGATATGTATATCTATATATATATGTACATATATATACATATATATATATGTACACATATATATACATATATATATATATGTAAACATACATGTGCAAATGTATACATACGCACGTGTCGGTCCCTCTCTCTCCCTCTATATATATATATACATATGTATGTATATATATATATATATATACATACATATATATATATATACATATGTATATGTATACATGTGTATGTATATTTCGCCCTCTCTCCCTCCCTCCTTCCCTCCCGCCCTCTCTCTCTAGTGCTAACATGTCATGGCCTCGGGACCATCCCGCCACAGTGCCTGGGTCGTGGATGCGTTTTGGAAGGCTCTTACAGGCCCTCCTGGATGCCTTTGGGGGGCCTGCTGACGATCTGGGGGGTCATCTTGGGGCGGGGGATTTGAAATCTTAGGTCGTGTTCCCCCTCGGGGTCTCTCTTGGGGCCCTCATTTGGCCGTCTTGGCCCGTCATGGAGGCCTCCTGGGTCGTTTTAGGGGCCCTTGGGGGCGTCTTGGGGCTCTCTTTGGAGGCTCTTGGGCCATCTTGGGGCGATCTTGGGGGGCCCCTGAACCGTCGTTTAGCGTCGGCAGCTCGACAAGGGAAACACGCCCACATTCGTCAACTATCCTGCCGAAGGACCTACCAATTACAAGTGTGAGTGCCGCAAGGCAGTTGGGACGAAGGAGGGGACCTCACCATGGGGCCACGAAGCGTGTGACGGGTGTGCCGACACGGGCGGGGAGCGGAATGTGGACGCACCCGCAGGTGGCTTCGGTGGAGCCCCCTTTATGGGGCCACGAAGCTTGCGAGGTGTGTGCCGAAATGGGGGCGGGTTGCGCATGCGAGCCCTGCCACCGAGACCCTCGGTGGAGCTCCGTATGGGGCCACGAAACGTGTGACGGGTGCGCCGAAATCAAGGCGGGTACCGCATGCGAGCCCTGCCACCGGAGCCTTCGGTGGAGCTCCCAGTTGGGCCACGAAGCGTGCGAGGTGTATGCCGAAATGGGGGCGGGTATCGCATGCCAGCCCTGCCACCGGGGCCTTCGGTGGAGCTCCCTGTTGGGCCACGAAGCGTGCGAGGTGTATGCCGCAATGGGGGCGGTTACTGCATGCGAGCCCTGCCACTGGGGCCTTCGGTGAAGCTCCTTATTGGGCCACGAAGCGTGTGAGGGGTGGTGTGCCGAAATGGAGGCGGGTACCGTCCGCCAGCCCTGCCGCTGAGGCTTTTGGTGGAGCTCCCTATGGGGCCGCGTGTGAGAGGTGTGCGGGCTTGGAGGCGGGTACCACATGCGAGCCCTGCCTCTGGGGCCCTCGGTGAAGCTCCGAATGGAGCCATAAAATGTGTGAGCAACATAACGATCATGATGGTGATTACGATGGTGATGGTGATGATGATTGTGATGATGGTGATGATCTTGACGATGACGATGATAATGGAGCTGATTATGATTATGATGGTGGTAGTGATTATTAGCAGGATGAGGGTGACGATGAGGACGATCACGAGGATTATGCTTATGCTGATGTGCATGATGACGATGATGATGCTGCTTATGATGATGATGATTTTGATGATGATGATGATGATGATGATGATGATGATGATGATGATGATGGTTGTGGTGGTTGCGGTGGTGATGATGATCTTGGTTCATCTTAAACCTGCCCATGGCGTTGTTTTATCGTTTTCAAATCATGCTTAGCGTTTTCAGATCCGTTGACTGCGTGTTTCCGTCTCCGTGTGTATCCCTATCGTCTTCTTTACGCAAGTTTATTTTTCTGTGGCCGTCGCTGGTGACTCGTCGCGGAAGCCCGCCCTCCCCTGCTGCCGCCGCCCTTCTGGTGTTAGACCGGTGTCAAAGCGTTTTTTCGGTGGGGCGTTCTCAAGTCTCCATGCGGAAACCAGTTTTTTGCTCCTCCCCTCCCCCCGTGTACGCAGCTCATGGATCAAGGCAGGTGCGTCGACCTTTGAGAGAGAAGGGGGGGCAGGAAGGGCGAACGGTGGCAGGGCGGGGAGCGCGGGAGCCAAGCTGGCAGAGAAGACAAGGAGGAGCCTTCGACGATAATGCAAAAAAGCTCAACAAATCGCTGTACCACAGCGACGAATCTGAAAACGCGAAAACAACGACCCTGAAACGCTAAACAACACGTAGCGCCTTTTTAAGCGTTGTCAGCCTGCCAAGAGCCCAAATTAAAAAACAAAAAAAACGCTAAAAAAGGGCCCAGGGCGCTTCCAAGATGAACCAAAATGACGATGATGATGATGGTGATGATGATGATGATGATGATGATGATGATGATGATGATGATGATGATGATGGTAATGATGATGCTGACGATGCTTACGAAGACGATGGCAATGACGATGACGATGATGATGCTGATTATGATGATAATGCTGATGTTGATGCTGCTGTTGCTGCTGCTGCTGCTGATGATGATGATGATGATGAAGATGATGGTGAGTGTGATGGTGAGTGTGATGGTGATGGCGATGGCGATGACGATGATGGAGATGGTGGATGGCGGTGGGTGGTGGTGATGATGATGGTGATGATGATGATAATGAATATTATGATAATGATGCTTATAATGAGGATGACGCTGATGATGCTGATCATGATGATGATGATGGTGATGATGATTATGATGATTGTGATGGCATGCGGAGGGCAGAAACAGGAGGAGGGAGGGAGCGGGAGGGAGGAAGTAGGAGGAGGGGGGGAGGGAGGAGGAGGAGGAGGAGGAGGAGGAGGAGGAGGAGGAGGAGTGAACGCGGGGCGCTGTGGATTCAGAACGAGGACCCAACACCACAGGATGGTTGGGAACGCAACACCAGAAATCCATGTTTCTGGCCTCCTGGGGCGCTCTTGGGCGGGCTCTTGGAGCCCTCATGGGCCGTCCTGGCGCTTTCTAGGACTGTCGTGGGCGCTTCTCGGGAGACTCGCAGGCTCGTCGGGTCGTTCTGGTTGGGTTCACCGTCCTGGAGGCCGACGCGACACGCCCCAAGATCACCCAAGAGCACCCAGGAGCACCGAAGAGCACCACAGAGCGTCCTCAATCATGTCACACTCCGCCACACGCGTACACCTGCTCGAGCCTTCGGGCCCTCCACTTCTTCCTCAAGGGACGGTGGCGGACATCTATACAGGACTGGGGGCGGGGGCGTCCGGCCTCCCCCACCCCGTAGCACGAGGCGAGCCGCGGCAGCCGCGTTAGCGCGATCCAGGCCGCCCTGGGCGGCCTGCGCGGCAGGGCCTCCAAGGTCGCCCCCCTTCTCGCCAAAGATGGCCGCTGCGCGTCCAGGAGGGAGAAAGTAAGGAGGAGAAGAAGGGAAGTGGTTGTCCCTCCTCCCCCCTCGTCTTCCTCCCCTCCTCCTCCCCCCTCCTCCTCCCCCCTCCTCCTCCCCCCTCCCCCTCCTCCTCCCCCTTGACCCCCTGTGGTCCAGGAAGGGAGTACGGCGAGGAGACAGAAGACAAAGTCGAGCGAGATACTTAGGGACCACCATGGAGTCTACCCCTTGGCGTGCCCAAGTGCCCAACTGATATGCCTGCTGACAAGAGACACGTTCACCTTCGAACGCAGGCGAACCGCTGGAGACGTTCCCACATTCTAGGCACGAACGGGCTCGTGAAGCACCCCTGGCGGCTCGCCGTTGGGGTTACGACACGTCACGGCTGCTGCATCGCGATGGTCACGGAGCCCTGAGCAGAGACGACACGTACTCTTCCGAAAACAGAGACCGCTGGAGGCATCCCCACTCTGAGGGTGCGAACGGGCCCGTGATACACTCCTTGGCGGCTCTCCCTTGGGGTGCCCAAGTGCTATGTTTGCTGCATCGCGAGGGCTCATGGATCCATGAACAGGGACACGTCACCATCCAGAATTTGGTGAACCGTTTAAGACATCCTGCCCAATCTGGGCGCGAATGGGCCCGTGCCACACCCCATGTCGGCTCACCCCCGTGGGTGCCCAAGTACCATGCCTGCTACTTCGCGTCGGTCATGTGGTCTGAGCGTGCGTGAGTCTGAGTGTGAGGGAGTCTGTGTGTGAGCCCGGTTGTAGTATGATTGGTGGTTGAGTCTTGGCGTGAATGAGTTCAAGTGTGAATGGGTCTGAGTGTGAGTGGGTCTGATCGTGAATGGGTACGGGTGCGAGTGGGTCGGAGTGGTGGCGAGTCTTGGTGTGCGTCAGTCTGAGTGTGGTGAGTCAGACTGTGAGTGAGTCTGAGTGTCAGTGAGTCTGAGTGTCAGTGAGTCTGGGTGAGCGTGAGTCTGAGCAAAAGTTGGTCTGGATAGAATTGACCGCGCGCTGGCGAAGCTGAGTGTGAGTGAGTCTGAGCGCGGGTGGGTCCAGCTGTGAGTGGTCCATGGGTGGGGCCGGGAGTCAGGAGGTCAGGATTCAGAGGCACCACTCTAACAGCAACGACCACGCACGTGGGGTATAGGGAGGATTAAAGACCCTACCTTTATGACATGTGGAAGGGTGCGAGCGAGTTTGAGTATGAGTGTTTCTTGCGGGTGTGAGGGGGTCTGCTGCTTGTGAGTAAGTCTGAATCTGATGTATCAAAGAGTGGGTGAGACTAGGTGTGGGCGAGCCTACGAGTGTTTAGTGGATGGTTCTGGTCATGGCCACGTTGAGTGCGAGTGGTCTGAGTATTAGTGAGTCTGTGTGAGAGTGAGTCTGACGATGGGTGATCTGAATGTGTCTGGGTCTGGATGGGTGAGTCTGGGCATGGACTGGGGAAGATGGGAGTGGACTGAGGCGGGGAGGTCCCATGAATAGCAATAACCTCATCTTGATATATAAATGGCAGGCCCACGGGTTACTCGTCGTTGAAAGGGGGCGTTCCTTTTTGTGATATGGAAACTGGTAGGGATGTATAAGGAGGGGGTTGGCCTCCGACGGGTGTAGCACAGCGTCGTTGATGCAGTTTGGGTTTACTCTGTTCCCCCGACCGTCTTCTCATCCCGTCTCGGTTTGCCCCACCCCCGGCCTTCGGTCATGAGTTGGCCTCATTGAAAGAGTTACTATGTGACCAGCTGCACAGCTTATCTTTTACAGAAGAGCAGTTTGACAGACGCATGACAATATCAACTGCAATGGAAGCGGTACTGGTTGTCTTGCGTGCACCTGCGGATGCGACTAGTTTAGCTTTGTCTTTTCATCAGCCGAGTTCTAGGATGCCAAGATAATCGAACAACATTAGTCTTACAGTGGGTTCGGTTGGGATGAGTTTGTGGGAGGCTTCAGCGTGTTCTCTCTGTCGCTTGCCCTGGCCTTGTCCTGTTACCTGGCTTGCTCCCCTTGGATCGTGGTTCAGAGGACCTAACGTTGCCCTGATCATATTAGCGTTTCTCGGCCCAGCTTCCATCCGCTGCACAGTGTTGTAGGTGTTCTTGCCTACGGGCCTGAGGTTTTATCTTCCTGGTGGGGCTGTGCTTGTTTTCTTCTTTCTTGATCGATTTAGGCTTGTTTCTTCTTCGTTGGTGCAGATTACATCCAGTGGTGGTTGATCTTGTATGTAAATTCGAAGGGAATAAGGTCTGATCATGGTCGGGATTCAATTGGCCAGGTCCTCCTACCCAGACCTGGACTTGCTCGTGGCGCACCTGGGGACGCGGCCCTCGGAGGACCAATTTTTGATTTCTGACAGCGGTCGGCGGGGAATCATAGAAGCACAGCGGTGATACATAACTTTGATTCCATATTATTTTGGCTTCAGCACCGCCGATGCCAACCGGCTACATGTCGATCGCAGTAATTGCCAGTCTTTGTCGCAGTGATCGCGGGAGTATCGAGTGAATGTATTCTTAGTTTCTCTGTCGGGAGCACATACGTCGCAATATGGAGTGACTACGGCGTCATGTGTACCGAGTAAGAAGGAAGAAGCCATCAGTTAAACGAAGGGAGATCGAACCAGGATGATATGGCGGGTAACGCAAGCGACGATGGTCACATTGCCCAGGACAGTGTGTGAAGAGAAGTCAAACTACTTCGCACGAGTGTTATTATGACAAGCGCGATTCGCGCGTCCCAGTCTGGGCTGGAGAGCTGTTCATCTCCAGGCGGCGGCGCGAGCGTGCGAACAGCAGGCGGCGGCGCGAGCGTGCGAGCAGCAGCTCGGTTCGTGCCCTTCGAGCGGTGCGATGCGCGAAGTTACGTAGACGACCGAGGTCTTTTTGTTGCATTCGTGGACGGGCGTCGCGCGAAGCAGTGTCGAGCATATGTTTGTCATCCTGTTTGCTACAAGTCAAACTGGCGCCAACGCGCCGGCACAGTAGCTGCAAAATTGCTTGGACGAGTTCTGCCTGCTACATGTTGGCACGCTCTTCTGCTTGTACGTAGGACCCCAGGCATCCATTCAACTTGCCCGTGCGTTGAGTATCTGCAATGTGCGCCTGCATCTTACAAGCGTGTTTCAACGCGCTTGCCACTAGGAGATCAGGCTGTACAAAATCCACGAACGGGCAAGGTTTGCTCGATCGGAGGGCTTACGGCTTCACACCCGCCAGGAAGCAAACCTTTGTCTCCGTGATCACGGTGAGCAGAGCGAGACCAGAAGCGGCTTTGCGGCAGGCCACTTCCATTGGTGGACTTGTTCTTTCCACGGGGCAGAAGTTCGGGCCAGGTCATCGCTTCCACGGCCCGAGCTTCCTCCCTGGGGCTGGCCATTCAATCGCATCCGCAACCGTAATATAGGGGCCACAGCGTTTGCCCAGCGAGCCCGACGCCCCACCGCGGCACAGAACCAGGCATGCGCAGCCCCGCTTCTCGCACTCGCGCTCGACCCCCGCTGCCGTCACGGCGCCGATCCCCTCCTCTGGTCCTCCCTCGCTCCCTCAGCGTCGTCGCTCCCTGTCCTGGCCCCTCCGCCCCCCCTCTCTCCCCGCTCGCTTGGGCGACCCGAGGGAGGCCGCGGACCGCGCGGCTCGCCGCGCCAGCCCGTCTTCCCGCGAGCGCGGAGGGAGGGAGCAGCGGTGGACGGAGCAGGGAGGGAGCGGGGAGGGGGGCTTGCACAGGGTGCCACCGGGGCAGGGGCAGGCTGCGCGGCTCGAGAGCAAAGAGCTGCCTCTCCTGGGCCTGCAGGCATCGTGCCAGCAGGGAACGCGCAGGCACAGCAGAGGGAGGGGGGAAGAGGGCCGACAGGAAGGCGGGCAGGGGGCATGGGCGAATCAAGGAGGGAGCGGGGAGGGAGAAGCCTTCTCCTCCTCCTCCTCCTCCTCCTCCTCCTCCTCCTCCTCCTCTTTCTCGTCCTCGTTCTCCTCCTCCTCCTCCTCCTTCTCCTCTTGCTCTTCCTCTTCCTCGTCGAGGGGCGGGCGGAAGAGCGGTGGATGTAGCACAGCATCCTGCGGCGGGTAGTGGCGGCGCTCCCTTTCTCCCTGCCCTCGGCCAGGCCTCGACGCCCTTTCCTCCACCCCTCTTTGTCCCTCCCCTCGTGCTCGGGTTTCCTGTGTCGGCGGGGCTCGACGTATATATATATATATATATATATATATATATATACAACACGTCTCTTGGTTGGCCAAGGAACCAGAGGTCCATAGACGCTCCAGCGCCCCACGGGTTGGGAAGGCGTGGTGTCTACATCGAGGTCGAGCCCCTTCCCAGGGAAGAGCCGAGCGACTGGCGACTTCTGTCCCGTTCTGGGCCCCGTGGGCCCTCGCGGATCGATCCAGATCGAGTGGTCTGCCTAGGGCCGAGATGGGTTCGGGCCGAGAGTTCCAGTTCATGACTTCTTTTGCGGTGCTGTGTCGTTGTTGGATGGCGGGGACCGTTCCTCCCTACCGACTCCTGGTCCGAAGCCAGCCGCATGGGCTGCGAAGAGCATGGTGTTTTGCGCTTCCCGGACTTCGTGGGAGAGAGTTGTCCGTCTCTGAGGGACAGCGCGAGGGCACAACAGGCAACCGTGCTTCGCGGATCACTCGACTCGAGAGGCGGAAGGCGGAATCGGATCACCCAGCATCGTGCCATCTCAAAGGGGAAAGGGGCCGTGCGGCTCGGAGGCCTTTAGGAAAAACGCCCGCTCCACAGCGCGGCCCTGATCGGCGGACCTCCCAGAAACCTGGACGCACAGGTGAGCTCTCTCCCTTGCATGCGGGGGGATCGGGAATGCAGTGTGTGTTTGTGTAGTGTGTGTGTGTCTGTGTGCGTGCGTGTGTGTGTGTGTGTGTGTTTGTGTGTGTGAGTGCGTGCGTGCGTGCGTGCGTGTGTGTGTGCGCGCGTGAGTGTGTGTGCGTGCGTAGCTGTAGCCGATCTGCTAGTCAGCACTCAGACACTGATTCGATACAGCGTGTTGATGTCTGCCAGTTCCTTGACGTACAGGTCGGATCTTGGTGTGGTGACTGCAACCCTGTCAGGTCATGTGCTTTTGCAGCGGGGGGATACTCCACCATCATCGCCCTCCATGGCTTATCGCATTCGTCAATTATCTGTTTACTTTAAGATGTGAGTCATGGGGTGATCCAGCTGCTGTACCATAATATCTTACTCTTGTGATGTTTGTGTTCCGTCTATGGATGGTGGTGCCTTTCGCACTCGCCTGGTGCGTACACTGTGTACACTTGCTGAGTGTCTTAGCCGGTGTGTCCTGCGGACTGATAGCGCTGGCCGCTGCGTGGTATTTTCGACACTACGCATTCGCTAATCAACGTGCGTATGCGTGCAAGTGCGTGCATGTATTCGTGCGCGCGTGTGTGTGTGAGTGTGTGTGAGTGAGTGTCTGCATGTGTGGCCCGCGCGTGCCTCTCGCTCGACCTCGACCTGCGCTAAGGCGCGCCGCTGCGCGCGTGGCCGAAATGACAAGAAGTGAGTGTGTGTGTGTGTGTGCGTGGTATTTCGGGCGCTCTCTCTCTCTGCTCTCCGGGGCGTCCTTTGATGCGTGGACGCGTGGCCGCCAGTGTTGCCTCGCGCCATGCGCTCGAGTAACAAGTATGCGTGCTGCGTTTGTGTGTGCGTCACTTCGCTGCTCGCTTCGCTCAGCTCTGTCGCGCTTACTCCTGTTGCAGGTTACTTCATGCGCGTTCGCAGTTGCCTTACGTGCTCTGGCCACCCGTCGCATGTTGTGCTGCGCGTTGAGCACCCATTCGCCTTCTTCTTTGCTCTGCCAGGGAGCGGGCCCACAGCACACACACACACACGGCATACGTATGCCTCCTTTGGAACGGCAAGGTAGTTGTGTGGGTGCTCGTTTGGCACATGTTCTGTGTAATCGCATTGCCTTTCGCATATGTGGGCGTCGTCTGATGCTAAACCCAAAGCAATGCTACATTACGTCACGCAAGCATAGCCGGTCCTTCTACGGTTGTTCGGGGGTTTATGCAGAAAGAAGCTACGTGACAGTTTGCCGCTAACGGTGATGACGATGGCGATGAGGATGGCGATGAGGATGGCGTGGGTGGCGAAGGCGATGATGACGATGACGGTGACGAGGAAAATTGTGGTGGCGATGGTGATCATGATGATTGTTCCCCTCATCATCCTGCTGCTGCTCCTGCTGTTCTTCCTATTTGTTTCTCCACTTACCTGCCTCCCCAGCCTTCTCTCCCCCCCTGCCCCTTTTTCTTCCCCCTCCCCTTCCCAGGGGAGGACCTCGAATGCGCAAACGCCGATTTGATATTCTCGTTCCGATCCCCCGCGAGTCCGCCCGAATCCATGGAAGTCCCCCAGAGCTGGAAGCAAGGGTCACTACTAGGGGTCTCACTTCCTGGCTTTGTGAAAATCTCCCGGGCAGATTTTGTGAGGACTCCGCATGCGAACATGCTGGTTTGAGATTCGGGGCTAGATCCCCCGCGAGTTCCCGCGAGTCCCCACCAGCAGTGTCCCAGAAGTGGCGTCAGGAGGCACGATTGGGGGCCTCATGTCTTAGCTTTTGGGTGAGTCTCCGTTGTTGATTTGGCGAGGACATCGCGTGCGAACGCGCCAGTTTGAGATCGAGTCCTGGGAAGACCCCAGAAGCGGCGTGGCGTCAGGAGGCGATGGGGTGATTCACGTCCTGGCCTTGCATGGGTCCCTGTGGCCGATTGTGGCGAGGACCTCCCACACGCGAAAGCGCCGATATTGGTACTCGGCGCCAGACCCCCCGTTTGCCGTAAGTCCCGGGACTTCCTTTCGCGCGTGAGGGGTCAGTATCGAACACGCCTACGGCGAATCACCGCCGCCCCCTGCCCGTTCGGAAGCGCCTATGTGGCCGAACGTTGTGGCCATAGGCCTGCCAAGCTATCGGACCATGTGTTCCCCGAATCGGTTTGGAAAGCTTTCGGGGAACACGTGGGAGAGAATGAACATGAAGAGGAAGAGGAAGAGGCCTCTTGGGCCTTCTTGAGCCGTCGGAATGGCGAGAACAAACAATTGCCAAAATCCTTGAAACACTTGGGGGAAATTAATGATGTTGGTCTCTTCGGGCCCTCCTGGAGGACCTCTTGGAGGCCTCTTGGGCCGTCTTGGAGGCCTTTTGGGGGCCTCTTGGGCCGTCTTGGGCAATATTGACGCCATGTCAGGCCGTCTTGGAGGCATCTTGGGCCGTCTCGAAGCTATCGGACCATGTGTTCCCCGAGTCGGTTTGGAAAGCCTTCGGGGAACACGTGGGGGAGGAAGATGAAGAGGCGGAGAAGGAGGAAAAAGGAGAAGGGGGAGGATGCCTCTTCGGAGCCTCTTGAGGCACTGTTGGGCTCGATTGGGCCATCTTGGGACCGTCTTGGAGGCCATGCTGGTGCTATCTTGGGCTCTCTTGGAGCCGCTTGAGGGCCTCTTGAGGCCTTCTTGGGACTTCTCGGGGGCCTCTTTGACCGTCTAAGGGCGTTCCTGGCCAGACGCCGTCGGGAGCCGTCTTGGGGGCCTCTCTGAACTAGCTTGGGGCCCTCTTGGGGCGCTTTGGGGCCGTCTAGGAGGCCATCTTGGGCGTCTTGGAGGCCTCTTGGCCAGTCTTGGGGCCCTCTTGGGGCCGTCTTGGGGGCCTCTTGGGCCGTCATGGGGCCATCTTGGAGGCCTCGTGGGCGATCTTGGGGCGATCTTGGCGGCCTCTTGGGCCGTCTTGAGCCGTCGGAATGCCGAGAAGAGGCAAGTGCCCAAATCCTTCAAAAATCAAAGGAAAATCAATGATTTGAGCCTCTTCGGGCCCTCCTGGAGGACCTCTTGGAGCTCTTGGGCCGTCTTGGGGGCTTCTTGGGTGAACTTGGAGGTATATTGGACCCTCTTGGGCCGTCTTGGAGGCCATCTTGGACCATCTTTTGCGGACTTGGAGGCCATCTTGGACCATCTTGGAGGCCATCTTGGGCCGACGTGGCCATCTTGGAGGTCATCTTGGACTGTCTTGGAGGATTTTGGTGGGAATTGAGCTCCTTGAAGATCGTCCCCGGACCCCGGCGGGACGCGCCAGAGGCCCAGGGGAAGTTTTTGTGGAAAAGAACCAAAACCAAAACCGAAAGGGTTCAGCACGCCAGGCACCCCTGTGATGAATCAACAGGGGGCGGCGGATCCAGGTGCCCGCGGCAAGTCCCACCACCGTGCCAGCCAAGCATTCTGGGTGGTAAAGGTGCGAGGCCCAACAGGCCGTCACACGTGGCGCCTCTCTCGTGTCCACCATCTCAGGTCGAGGAGCAAGCATTGAGCTTCTGTTGGCCGTGCTGGGGCTGCCTTGGGATCCTGTTGGACAAACTTGGGGTCCCTTGGGGTCATCTCGGGGTGCTCTTGAACCGTCTTGGGGCTCTCTTGGGCCATCTTGGAGTCCTCTTGGCAGTCTCTGGGCTCTCCTTGCCGTCTGGGCGGCCTCTTGGGGACGTCGTGGGCCGAGCTGGGAAGTCTTTGGGCCGTCGTAAGCCTTCGTGGGTCCGGATGGTCTCTTAAAAACCTCGTCAATCAAACATTGACACGCTGTTTAAAATCGAAGTGCTCGATAGTTTGGACACTTGTCGGAAAACGCGTTCTTCGATTCCGTGAGGGTATTTCCGGATTTCGGACATCACCTGCGCTTGGGCCTGATATCTCAGGCCAGCATCGAAGTAGGTCCGACCACACAAGCACCGACAACAACGATCGCCAGTTTATGTTTGACGAGTCTTGTAGGCCAGCTTGGGGCTCTCCGTGGGCCGTCTTTGGCTGTGCAGGGACGCTCTTGGGGCTCTCCGTGGGCCCCTTTTGCCCCCTACGTGCCCGGGGGCACGGTGACATGTCTTTGGTTTCACGAGTCAGGCAGGCAAAGAGGGTGAAGGAGGACGCGGGTATACACGATAATCAAGAAAGCCGTAACTCTCATCTTCTGCCCAGCTTTCGGAGCGTTGTTGAAACGAGATTTCGCCAGCCTGCTGCTCATTGCCGGCTTGTCAAAGTGCGCCCAGTAGGAGGAAGGCAAGGGACATGATGACGATGATGATGACGCGGATGATGATGACGAAATGAAGAAGATGAGGAAAACGACGACTGGTGCGGAGGCCCAGAGCAGAGAGTCGTCACATATGTCACCTCGGTGTGCTGATGCTATCTTGGACTGGTGTGAGGCCGTGTTGGGTCGGAGTAAGAGGGGCATTATGATAATGAGTTCGAGACAAAGCGGAGAAGGAGGAGGAACATTAACAAATTATGTGAGGAAAGTTCACGCCATGATATGCCACATCCTATGTCGAGCGATCTCCATGATGATGTGCACGGTTGCCTCTCGAAAGCCGTTCGGTGATCTCTGGTGCACGGAATTAGAGTTTGGGTGAAATATGGGGGGTACAGACGTCCACGATGATGGTACGGATACGCTCGGACCCCTCCTCCCGCGACCTGCAGAAACATAGTGGCATATCGGCGCCTCTTGTCGGGATGCCGCCAGAGACCAAGCGGCCAAGCGGTGATCTTCCTAGCGCGGCTACATGCATTCCGAGCGGCAGCGGTAGGAGCAACGCCAATGCTGCCTTCACATGTTGAATCTCGGGTGCCCTGAGGTCATATAGGACTGATGCGATGCCCTTTCTGGGGCGGCGCATGAGGACAAGGCATCATGCCGAGCGGACGAGAGAGGGGGAAACCAGGGTACTCGAGGAGTATCAGAGAGGCCTCTAGAAATCCGTACGTGATGAACTCTTGAGCGTTGCTAGCAATGTTTGTGTGGCGACGATTGCATCAACTTCCATAGCGCCGTCGCGTGCGAAACCTTGTCTGGCTTGGGGCCATACTTGCCTGTTGTGCGGCTGTCCTGGGGCAGTGAAAGGCGACGAGGGAGAGTAAAATGAGCTGCAGGAAGAGGAGAAGGCGATGGGGCGGATGATGAAGATGATAATGCGATGACATGGGGAAACGAGTATGGTAATGGTTGCTGGTGGTGGTGGTGGTGAGAATGATGACGACGAGGAGGGCCGCGCATGAGTAGGAAGAGGAAGGCCGTCACGTGTGACATCTTTTGCCCGAAGATTCCAGCGACGCGCGCACGCGAACCCCGGCTGCGAGGCTGCCCCATGCGGCACCTCTCGTCTCCACTTCCTGAGGAGCTGTCGTGGGGGTTACTTCTGACCGTCGTGGGGCTGTCTATGGGCTCCCGTGAGGCAGTCTGAGGGCCTGGGGGGCAGCCTTTGGTCTGCCTTGGGTCCCTCTTGGTCCAGCTGAGGCCATCTTGGTCCGTCTTGGGGCCCTCTTGGCCGTCTCGGGGCTCTCTTGGACGTGTGGAAGGTCTCTTTGGGGTCACCGTGGGGCCGCCTCGGGGCAGCCCTTGGGCCACCTTGGGGCCGTCTGAGGCCGTCTACGGCCCGTGCGAAGGCCCTCCTGGGCCAGCTCTCTTGAGGCCGTCTTGAGCTGAGTCTGGGCTCTCGTCGGGGACCTTTGAAGACTGCAGTTGGGCTGATTTTGAACCGAAGAGCGTGGAGAACAATGAACAGTGAATATCCTGTGAGGCAAGACTCGTCAAGAGAGGGGCCTGCTAGTACAGTCGGAAACCCTACCACCTATCAGACAGCACTGGGAAGTCTACCACGCCTCAACGTGCCAGGAGGCACGGTGGCGGATGACGTGAGTTCACAGAGAGTTGTCCTCACATAAAGAGCGAACTATGGACATGATGCCGATAGTTCTTCACAGCTTAGTGTACGGACGTTTTCCCTATTTTGCCGTTCGGTTGGTCACGTCAAGCTCAGATTCAAATACAAGCCCCGAGCCAGGGTGGCGAGCACGCGGTGGCCCTGGATCCTGGCTAGACCGCGGCGCGGGCTGAGTGGGCGGGGGCGTATCTCCCTGGCTACCTCTCGGCTGGCCAGCCGGTCATCCCGTTTTTCTCTCCTCTTTCCGCCCACCTGTTGGTTAATTTGGGAATGTGGCCCCCGGGCACAGGCGCAGGTGTTCTGCACGCCGTCCACATGTTCCTCTCGCTGCCGCTGCCATTCGTTCCTACGTTCATGCCCTCGCTGCTGGCTGTGGCCCTGCGTGCTCGTCGATCTGTTTGATCGGCCATGCGGGGTCCCTGTTCGACGTTTTGATTTCCAACGGCCGAAGTCAGTGCCAGGTCTCAGTCGAGAGGCTCCTTGTCCAGGTGGGCGAGCTGCGAGTGCTAGGGAGGGGGGGACGTGTGGCCAGAGACAGAGAGTGAGAATCATACAGAAAGAGAGAGAGTGAGAGAGAGAGAGAGAGACAGATAGGGAGAGAAAGCGAGAGGGCGTGATAGAGAGAGAGAGAGAGAGAGAACGAGAGGGAGAGAGCGAGAGAGCGAGGTGTATACATATATACCCCCATAACAGCACAAGAGCGCTCCAAGAGTGACCGACGTGACCTCCAGATGGCCCAAGAGGCCTCCAGGACAGCCCCAAAGAGGCCTCCAAGAGCACTCCCAAGAAGGCCCAAGAGGCAACAATCATTGATTTTCTGCAGGTGTTTGGTGAATTTGGGGGTTCTCCTCTTTTCGGCTTCCCGACGCTCCAAGACGGCGGTCTTCTGGACGTCCGAAGCCGCCTGGGAGGCTCCAAAATCGCCCCACAACCATCCGAAAGGGCTTCGGGGCAGTCCGAGAGAGCCCCACAACGGCACAACACGGGTCCAAGATGGCTCTCAGAGAGCCCCATGGCGGCCCAAGATGACCCCAAGACATCCTCCGAAACATTCCAAATCGTGACGCGGTCGTTCAGGGAGACCACGGTTGGAGGCAGGGTGGCTACGCAAAAAAACAGCTGCGGAGGATGGGGAAAATGCGCAGGGTATGGCGAACATGAAGAAAAATAAACATGGAGGAAGATAACGAATAACATCATTATAGCGGCGATGCCGGCAAAAACAACCAGGAGATATCGCTACACTTGCTCGGGCTATTGTGCCATTCGGACGCCACCAATTCATAACATGCCCGCAGACCCTTGTGTTCGAGCTGCGTTGGAGGAAAAAAGGGCCCCGAGATACGCTTTCCCCACGCATCCTCGTAACTTCCGCCATGGTAGCGGAGAGCGTGGCTCTGTGGTGAACTACGCAGATCAGATCCACGGGAAGACTGAGGACGTGCGCCGCCCATGGCAGCGGCGCCCAGAGAGCACCTGGTGGATTGCAGAGGCGACGCCAAGTTGCCGGAGTTCAGTGGCAGAGATGAGGACTGGCCCAGCTGGTCCATCAAAGCCCACGCGTTCTTCGCGCTGATGGGTTGGGATGACCTCATCGACAATGTTGAGGCCCAGCCAGCGCTCGCGGTGGACAACGTCAGCATGGGCGAGCGCGCGGCAGCGACGAGCAATCTGCTGCATGCCATCTTGATCACCAAGACCCAGCGCAAGGCGCTGACGATGGTTACGTTCGCAGGCAGGCGCGAGGGTTTCGTCGCCTGGCGGGCGATCCAGAACGAGTGCGAGCCTGGGGTGGGCAACAGGTTCGCAGCCATGCTCAGCGGCCTGCTCAACCCCAGGTGGGACGACCAGAAGCCGTTCGCCGATCAGCTCGTTGACTGGGACAGCGACGTGGCGAGGTACGTCATGCAGGCGGGGAAGGATTTCGGCGATGAGTTTCGCATCGCCACGCTGCTCGTCCATTGCCCCGAGCCGTACAAGACCGTGCTACGCAATGCTCCGGCGGCCGCCAAGGTCTCGCACATGGCGTTGAGGACCCACCTGAGAGAGTGGATGGCGTCTGGGCAGGTCTTCGCAGCTAGCGGCACGGTGGACCAAAGCGTGGCGCCGATGGAGATCGGTGCGATCTCGGGCCATGCCCTTCCGCAACAGCCTTGGCCCAAGCGCCAGGGCGACAAGTCGGGAGGCGGCATGGGTGAGATGATGAGCGGCAAGGGCGACAAGGGCGGCAAAGGCAGCAAGAAGGGAGTCAATCATGACAAGCACAAGGGCAGCTACCCCGCCAAGTTCGAGGGAACCTGCAACTGGTGCCAGAAGCAGGGGCACAAAGAGATGGACTGCTGGCACCAGGCGGCCGGCAAGCCACGGGCGCCGTCTGCAGCGCCCCCGAAGGCGGCCGCAGTCCAGGGGGCCCCTGCAGGCGCTAAGGGCCAGAGGACCGTGAGCGCGGTGGCCGCGGGCTCCGACGGCGACGAGGTCGGCTGGGTCTTTGGGGCCAGGAGCTCGGTCGGAGGCTGCCGCAGGGAGGAGCGTTCATCCTCGCAGACAGCGGCAGCGACGAGCACCTCTGCGGCCAGGCGCTCGGAGCACAGCATCCGACAGTTCAGGAGGACCCCACTGCGCCCAAGCTCACCACGGTGAGCGGCCAGAGGCTTGGTACCGAGGGGCCCCGCGGGATCCCGATGGTCGTCGGTGGCGAGAAGGGTGGCAGACATGCTTGGGGAAACCCAGAGTGAGCAACGACCTCGCCCCTCAGGGCGCGGTGCTCAGCCTCGGGAAGCTGGCGCGCAAGCAGATCAGGTTTGTCCTTGAGGAAAGTGACCCGCACGCCGTGAACCTCAAGACGGGCGAGCGGGCGGACATGAAGCTAGTTGGCAACGCGTTCTACTTCGCTGCTCAGATCCACGACGCGACGGACGAAGCCAAGCTCGCAGCCTGCCCCGCCAGGGTCGCCGCAGCAGGTGCCACAGGAGCTCCGCGGGGGGCGGCGCGAGGAGAGGGCCCTCCGCCGCGCCCAGAAGCTCGAGGGTCACGAGACCCAGCGCCACCAGATGCAGGAGTTGCGCCACCACGGGTGCAGAAGGCGGCGGCGCCACCAAGGGCGCAGGGGGCGGCGGCGCCACCAAGGGCGCAGGAGGCGGCGGTGCCCGCGCAGGGCCAGGAGGCACCTGCGGCGGCACAGCCGCCGGGGCGGCCTGGGCCAAGCTCGAGGATCGGCGCCATGCAGAAGCGCATCAAGGAGATATGCGCCCCGCGCTACGGGGCCAAGGCTCAGCGCTGGGCACGGCTCGTGGCGTACGAGGGCAGACGCAGGGCGAGGGCGGCGACGGATGATTTCCGCGAGCTAAGGCGCGAGGAGGTGAGGCGTCAGGCGGGGGCGGGGTAGGTGCTGGAGCCGACCGCGTTCCCCGACGTCCGCGAGCCGACGCCAGAGGAGAGGCGGCGTCGCGAGGAGAACCAGCACTGCCCACCGCGGCGCTGGTGCGAGCACTGCCAGATGGGACGTGGGCGTGGCAGGCCCCGCAAGCTTCTCGATGCGGAGGTGGAACGCCTCCCCGTGATCGGGCTTGACCTGGCGTTCTTCAACGGCGAGGCGGCCGACGCCGCGGGGGCGGGGCCCCGCGCCGAGGATGGCCACGGACAGGGCGAGGAGGTGGTGCTGGTGGTCGCGGATGCCGACACGGGTGCCATGGGGAGTGCCCCGAAGCCTGACCGACGCGCTGATCCCTACACGGTGGCAGCCGCGGTGGCGTTTATCAAGCTTGTTTTTTTTTTTTCCATCAGAAGGTTATCTTAAAGGTTAGGCCACGATGATGTCATGATGGACCTGGCCAACAAGGTCGAGACAGAGCTGCCCAACCGTGTGGTCGTGAGACCTGCCCCTGCGTTCAGCCCCCAGTCGAACCCCTCCGAGAACGCCAATGGCATCACCCAGGCGCACTTCCGCACGAGCAGGAGCGCACTGGAGGCACGACTGGGGGCCAGGGCCCTACCAGGCACGGCCATGCACGAGTGGTTGCAGCGCCGCGCGGGCTGGGCATGCACCAACCTGGGGATCAAGGCGAGCGGACGCACCGCACACGAGGACCTCTACGGCCACGCTGCACCAGGGAGATGGCCACCCCAGGAGAGTCCGTCCTGGCGCGCCTACCTAGGGGCAAGAATCGCAGGGCGAGAGGCAAGCTGTACCACAAGGGTGACATGGGCTTCGCGAGGGCGGCCTGGCTGGGGAAGAGCTACGGCACCGACGAGCACATATGCGCCCTCGAGACGGGTGGGCTGGTCACGACGAGGATTTTTAAGAGGCTGCGGTTCAATCGCACCGCCGTGGCGGTGGTCACGCACATGTCATGGCAGTGCCGAGGGCAATCCTTCGTCTGCCATTGGCAGCTCTTGGTGCTCTCTTGGGTTCCCTCTCGGCCCCATCGCGAGGCCCCCTTCGGCCCAATGCGAGCGAGGCCAGCTTTGCAGTTCAGTCACCGCAGGCCCCTCGGGAGGCGATATTCGAGGGGAGACGTGAGCACAACCGATCAAACACCATCGTTGGTTCCATGGCTCTGGCCACCCTGGCAGGTCTCCCAGCGGCCTCGCGGAGCCGAACGGGAGGCCACGCCCGCCACGGTGGCGGCCATGTAGCGATCTGGCGCCACTTCGGAGGCCACCTGGGGCTGCCTCTTATCATTCTCCCCCTCCCTCCTCCTCCTCCTCCTCCCCCTCCTCCTCCTCCTCCTCCTTCCTCCTTCTCCTCCTCCTCCTCCTCCTCTTCTCCTCCCTCCTCCTCCTGCTCTCCCCCTCCTCCTCTCTCCTCCTCCCTCCTCCTCCTCCTCCTCCTCCCCCTTCTCCTCCTCCTCCTCCTCCTCCCTCCTCCTCCTCCTCCTCCTCCTCCTCCTCCTCCTCCTCCTCTCCCCCTCCTCCCCTCCTCCTCCTCCTCCTCCTCCTCCTCCTCCTCCTCCTCCTCCCTCCCCTCCCTCCTCCTCCTCCTCCTCCTCCTCCTCCTCTCCTCCTCCCCTCCTCCTTCTCTCCCCCCCCTTTTCCTCCTCCCCCTTCTCCTCCTCCTCCTCCTCCTCCTCCTCCTCCCCCTTTTCCTCCTCCTCCTCCTCCTCCTCGGGGCAGCGAGCGGGTTGGAGCGTATCGAGGCCAGGGAGACAGATTTCTTCGCAGGTTCCCCAGGAAAGCACATGTACCCATTCACCTTCACCAGCCAGTCAGGCCGCTTTTTGGAGAGCCCCTTGCGAAAGTGGGCTGCTGGCCTTCCAAGGGAAGGCTGGGCTAGAGCGCGGGGTCTCATCGTTTCCAGCCCCTGCCGTGTGAGGCTCCAGACATGATTTCGAGAGAGAGCGGGAATGGAGGCAGAAGACATGTGGACGATCACGGACAGCTCCAGTTCGTGTTGGATCGGATTCGTTGTCGATTTCGAGGTGCATGTCTCAAATTTGAGAGGTGAACGTCGGCTGTCTGACAGAACGTATGTTCGAGCATGGACAGCGTATGTCTATGCTGCTGGACACTGTCCGAACTCGTACTGCCTCCATTTCGGACGTGCCATATGATGTGCTCTCGAAATGTCACTGGATCTCGACCCTGCGATGTTCGTCGTCCTCTCCCTAGTGCGTCACCCCCCATCGCTTTTTGTTTCCCTTCGGTCCGTGCATGAGTCCTGCGCCCTCTCGGATGTCCTTGTGGCCATGCTCCCGCTGTATACGCATGTTCGTTGATGAGCAGCCGTTGTTTCATCAGAGCACCTGGCGCTATCCCTCTAAATTGCGTGGTGGTCTGAGCAATGGCAGTGGCTCAAAGCGACACGGTCTATGCAGAAAGTCTGGAATGTGACGCCGATGGCGTTCTGGCTTCGCAGCAGATGGGCGAGTGGGGCACGGTGGGTGCGTGGGGTAAGGAATTTGCCCCGGAGGCTTCAGACCCTGGAGCATTCTTCACCTGATAAGGGCGGCTGTGATATCCATGGGCAAGCCTCAGTTGGTGATCCATCAGGTTTTCAGGCCCTGGATTCCTTATCGAATGGTTTCTGATCCAATGCCCTCATCGTAATCCACAGTGGTTGCTGGCAATATATTGCGAACCTCCTCGGCTCCCCTGCCTGTATCTGTACCTTTCTCTTTGCATGGCGCCTGTGCGGGTAGCTGGAAGTCTGGCTTTCTTGCCATCCGCGGCGCCGCTTGTGCTCTGTCTGTTAATGCCAGTCTCGAGCGTAGCCGAGCGCGGGGGCTAGCCGGACACACGGACAGCGCCGACGCCGCACATCGCTCTGCCCAAGCCACTCGCCTTCCAGAGACATCGGTCTGCAAATACAGAGCTCACAACGGCGTTACGCGTGCATCTTCTGAGGACCACGCGGACTTCTCGGGTCGGCGCTGGACCCCCGCCCCCCCTGGCGGCGCCCTCTGCGTGCCAGGGGAGGAGGAGACAGAGCCGACCCACGAAGTGGACCTCTCGAGACCAGCTGCGCCGAAGCGCTACTGGGGCCATAGTCCCTGGAACCGTCGGGGGCCCAGCCATGGCGATCCCGAGGCTTCTCGGGGGAGGAATCAGTACGGCCTGATAAATGATGAGTTGCACATATTGTTTTTTGGGCCCAGCGTTTATCAAGTACCTTGTTGGGACGTGTGCTTCACTTCGTAACCACTGACTCGTCCTGTTCATGCATGTGTATGCGTGTATCCATGTACACAGTCGTGTGTGTAGATGTGTATATGCATGGTGCAATCAGTGGCGTAAACTGTACGGTATGTGGTGTAAGCCATACGGCGCATGCTTTCTGGTGTAATGTATGTGGTGCACGCTACGTGGTGTAAGCAGTGTAGGGCCAGTTATGTAGTATGAACTACGCAGTGACAGCCATGTGTACAATTTACGGGGTGAAGACTTTGCCGTGCAATCTACTTGGTGCAAGTTATGTGGTGCAAGCTATGTGGCACACAGGACGCCCACGAAACGCCAACGGGCGGCCACAGACGGGCACCAGGCGAAACCCCTGGCGGACCCACCCATCGCACGAGGCACCCACGAGGCTCCCATGACTGGCCACCAGCCAGGCACCAGGCGAAACCCTGGCGAACCCACCCAGCGCACGGACGGCCAGACGCCAACCGGGCATCAGGTGAAACTTCGGTGGGCCCGTCCAATTCTTGAGGTAGCCGAAGTAAGAACCCTTAAGTGCAGCTCGTGTTCGGGGAACCTGCGTCCATACGCCCATACAGCCAGCGCAATTTGCAGGCTTAGTTCGTCCGATGTTTTTGATCTTCATCTCGTCCTTGTCCTTCCCTCAGTTTCCTCATTTTCCCTCCCCGCCTCGCTCCACTTCATCCCTTCTCCTCCTGCCCTGTCTTCGACCCTCTTCGCTATGGTGCCCGGAGTTTGCCGATGGGGGCGGCCAAGATGCCAAACCAACGTGCTGCCGTGCGCGGGTGCCGTGTGCTCGAGATCCACAGCCAGTCGCGATGCGGGTGCCAGTGGACTGGCCGAGTGCGGATCGCGATTGCAGTTGCCATAGATCGCGTGCTCGGCCCTGCCCTGCCACGCGACTGGGGCGAGCCGACCGCAGGGTCGTCCCGCGACCCTCCTGGAAATCCCCGTTGGCGCTGCGGCAGAGCGGAGCGCACGAGCGGGCTCGTGGGTCACTGGCCACCGCCGGCTCGATCTGAGAGGAGAGGCTCTGCGCGGCCGACCCAGAGGCACCGGTGTCCTCCCCGGGCGCCCAGGAGGCGCAGAGGCTGCAGCAGCAGCTCGCCGAGCACCGTGGGCTGCGGCAGGCCCCCCGCCGACTTCTCTAAGTCTTCGTATCTTGTTGGCAGTCCCAGATCGCCGCTTAAAGAAATCTGTGGCGGCGCGCACAAGGGGGTAGGGGGAGGGGGGAAGGCTTCTCAGAAGGAGGCTGCCTCTTAGAAGGCGCGTGCCTTACAGTCTGAAAAGGCTGGATGGCAAGCAAGTTCCTGCTCTCAGGAAGGCTTCGTCTGTGGTGGTGGTGGTGGTATTAAGGGTGGGGGCGAGGTTCGCAAGCGCAAAGATACGCGGGAAGGTGGCAATACTGGTGATACATGCACCCAGCGCGAATTTGATCACGGGGGCGTATTCTTGCCCTCATGCATCGTTGCCTCGAGGTTCACGTGTGCACCAACATGCAAAGTTTCACTCAAGAGGCTTACGCCATTCCGCCGACCTACGAAAAGATTGATGGGCGAATGTACTTATTGACGCTTCCCGCACCCCGAGCAGCGCATCCCCAGCGCTTCCGCAACAGTCGGGAGAAGAGAAGGTCTTAACAACACAATGTAGCAAGTGCCAACAATGCTGAACACAGAGACCTCTGGGAGTCTTTGAGGCCCTCTTGCTCCTGTTCTTGAGCTCTCTTGGGGGCTTCGGGGTTCCTCTTGGAGCCATCGTGTCCTGGAGGCCATCGATCCACGCTCTTGGTATCTTCGGGGCCGTCTTCGAGCGCTTCTGGGCCTCGGCCTTTCCGTCTGGAGGCCTCGGAAGCCCGTCGGAAACGAAAAAACGAGACGGCAACAAGTGTATAGTTGCAGAAAAACATGTGTTTTTGTTGTTGAATGATTGGGGCATCTCGTGTGCATTCTTTGGAGGCTCCTTGGCCACTTGCAGAGGCCGCTCTAGAGCCGTCTTGGAAGGCATCTTGGGCACTTGGAGGTGACCGGGAGCGGCTCTGGGAGGTTTTGATCAGAGAGCCCCAGGGATGCACTGACGAGCTCGTAGACCCCGCCCCCAGCCCCTCCTTTCCCCCCAAAGCTGCGTCTGGGACCTCTGGGGGTGAGGGGAACTGCCAGTCATCCACACGCCTTGCCACCTCTGGCAAGCAGGGTCGGCGGATTTTTGCACTCATTGCCACGGGGCCGCGGGGCTATGTCTACAGTTCCGTTTACACCGTTGTTACGGGACAGGTGGATGTTGCGCAGGAAGAAGAGAACAGAAATCACGGCGCAAGAGAAACATGACATGAGGGACCGGACAGTTGGGGAGTCGTTCGCGACCAGATTACCCTACCAAGTTTAGAGTCGCAGAGGGGAGCCGAGCAGCCCGGAGACCGAGGATGACCGAGGCCGGCGCATTTTAACTTGGAACCCGACACCAACATCAAGATCGTTCTGGAAAAAACCATAGCCATTTTGGCTCAAGTCGTTTTGGCTCCAGAGCGTGTTGGTATCAAATTGAGTGTTTCTTGGCCGCATTGCAATGAGCAGGGATCCGCTGGGAAGGGGCGCATCGTTTTGTCATCTTCTGGACGCATGCGTAGACCAGAATCTGAATTACTTCGACGGCAAAGGGTTCCTTCTTGCGTTTGCTTGTCTGCACAGGCTCTCGCGTCAAAGTAGACGTATTGCGGATGCAGCGCTTTGCATGCGGCGGGCGGTAAATGTCAGTCGGTGCAGGCTCTGAACAGACGCAGCTGTGGCAAATTTCGCGAGCTGCGCCGCTTTGCAATCCGTTAGTTTCGCAGATTGTGGCAAGCTGACACACAGGGGCGCGGAGCACCTGGCGCGGTGCGCGGTGCGCATTTGTGCAATCCGTCAGTTTCGAGGGATGTGCCGGGCTGACGGACAGGGCCGCGGAGCATTTGGCGCGGTGCGCCGTTGTGTAATCAGTCCATTTCCCCGGGTGTGGCCAGCTGACGGACAGGACCGCGGAGCACCTGGCGCGATGCGCCGCTTTGCAATCCGTCAACTTCGACGGGTGTGGCGGGCTGACGGACAGGGCCGCGGAGCACTTGGCGCGGTGCGCCGTTTTGCAGTCCGTCAACCTCGCATACTGTCGCAAGCTGACGGACAGGGGCGCGGAGCACTTGGCGCGCTGCCCCGCTCTGTGATCCGTCACGTTCGCATGCTGTGGCCAGCTGACGGACAGGACCGCGGAGCACCTGGCGCGGTGCGCCGCTTTGCACTCCGTCAATTTCGCATACTGTGGCGGGCTGACGGACAGGGCCGCGGAGCACCTGGCGCGGTGCGCCGCTTAGCACTCCGCCAGTTTCGCATCGTGTGGCGGGCGGATAGGGCCGTGGAGCATCCGGCGCGGTTGGCGCGGTGCGCATCCGTCAATTTCACCGGGTGAGGCCAGCTGACGGACAGGGCCGCGGAGCACTTGGCGCGGTGCGCCTCTGTGCAATCCGTCAATTTCGTCGGGTGTTGCTGGCTGACGGACAGGGCCGCAGAGCACCTTGCGCGTTGCGCCGCTTTGCAATCCATCAGTTTCGAGAGATGTTTCAAGCTGACAGACAGGGGGCCGCGGAGCACTTGACGCGAATATAGTGCCAATGTTCGGTCGCACGAGTAGACCAGAGTCTTAATCAATTCGACGGCGAAGGGTTCCCTCTTGAGTTTGCGAGTCTGAACGGGCTTTCGCGTCAAAGTAGACGTATTGTGGATGCAGCGTCTTGCATCCGGCGGGCGGGAAATGTCAGTTGGTGCAGGCTCTTGGCAGACGCAGCTGCGGCAAGCTTTGCGAGCTGCGCCGCTGTGCAATCCGTCAATTTGGCCAGGTGTGTCAAGCTAACAGACAGGGGCGCGGAGCACCTGGCGCGGTGCGCGGTGCGCATTTGTGCAACCCGTCAACTTCAAGGGGTGTGGTGAGCTGACGGACAGGGCCGCGGAGCAGCTTGCGCTGCATGGTCTACATGGCCTGATCGCGCGCTCGGGCACAGCCTGGGACCGCGCGAGATCTGGGGCACAGCCTGGGGCGCTGCCACGAAAAACTGAGATCTCTCTGGAAAAGAAACGGCCCGAGCCTCAGTTGCATCGTGACCTTCGTCCGTGTATTCGCGCTCGTCTGTCCGCTGCCAACGAACACGTTGGGGAAAGATGCAGGACGCCGCGGGCCCTCCCCCTCTTCCCTTCCGGTGAGCTCCATGAGGCCAACGAGCACGATGAGACCTCGGGCCCTACGAGCCCCACGAGTCTTGACACTCGGCGTTCGGGCTCAATGGAGCCAGCGATGATCGGCGGTCCTGGCGTGCCCTCTGGCGTTAGGGGGCCCCGCTCACCCAACCAGCGTCCACAGGGGAAGTGCTCCCAAGTTTTCCGATTGGAAAGCCGACACAAGCACTAAGATGCCCACTGAAACGGAGCCTCTGAAGGTGCACGGTCCCGCGAGAACTTTGCAGGTACGGCCTGGGCCTGAGGGCTGAGAATCTGGAGCGCTTGGCTTAGGCCGCCCAGGGCCTGCCGCGGCCCTCGTCCATAGGTGTTTCGGGGGGGCTCTGGATTCATGCGCTCGTCGCTGGCTGCTGGGCTTTCGCGGGTGGGCCTTATTGGCGGGCCTCTCAAGGGATGCTGTTTTTTTCGCTAGCCAGTTTTTTTCCCCACATGCGATTCGGTGATCCAGGACGGGCTCGATCTGGCTCAAAACACAACTCCAAATTCAATGAAATATTTGCATGGCACTGGTCTCGTTTTTCTGCCCTCCCACGAGGGCGTCGGGATGAACAAGGTGCAAGCAGGACCTGGCAACCCCAGAAGGTGAGCAACCGCCGGCAGCCAGGAATCATGCCCAGTCGTTTTAAAAAGCAGTAGCCCTGGAGGAGAGCAAACGCACCCTACCGTCGTGCGAGAGAATGCTTCGGCAGGAAAGCCATGGCTGACAGTAGCTATCTGATTGTAAACGCTGGCGATTGCATAGCCAGGACGCTGCGCAACGACAGGGCAGGCATGACTTCACAAAGGCGCGGGCGAGCAAATTCCGTAGCCATTTTGGTTCAAGCCACTTACACAGCCAGGAAACAGTTATAACAAAATCGAGAAGACGATCATCGCGAATGATCTGCAGACGGCAACGTTCAGAGAGGATCATTGAGCAGCGCCCGTGGGCACGCACCCGTTGGCAGCGCCCGTGGGCGCGCACCATGGGCCAGGCCATTGATATGCCACACTTTGGCTTGCGCGCCCAGTGGCAACATTGGGGGTCGGACGCCACTTAATGCCCGGATGCTCCTCCAAGTTCATCCTTCACAGGGCCGCTGGCGTTGGCGGTTCCACGTTCTGCCTTGCGGTTTCATTCCCACCAGTCGGATGGCTAACATGCAGCGCGCAATGCAGACGATACGTTTTCCCGTAACGTTGACAGGCGGACGTCACTTGATGCGACGGTCCCCGCCTTGTCTGACTCAACATCTTTTCGGCTTCCATCCCTGTGCCATTTTTGTTTAAACTTTTTCACGGGGATGTAGGGCTCAAGATTTCACCCCGCAGCATGCTCGAATCTTGATTCAGCAATGGTGTACGGTTCCTTGCTCGTCGCCCTGTTCGCGGCCCCGGCGTCCGGGCTGGCGGCGGAGCGACTGCCGCAATCTTGCTTGGAGCGCGCCTCGCTGATGCGCCCGTGTTGAAGCGCAACGCGCGCCGTATTCAAAATGTCCGCGTTAGTGCGCTGCGTGTTGGCTTGGCACGTGCTCGCCCGCATTTTGGCGAACGCATCGCAGCAGGCCTACGTTTTCAGTCTACGTGTTGAGCTCCGTGTCGACACGCTCGTGCTGCTTGTTGCGTATCGGGGCAGCTAAGGCGCCCCGTCAAAGGGCGCCTTCCAGCACGCCCCCCAGTCGGAACCGCAGGCGCCTGCCTGAGGAGAGGCCCGGCTGACGGACTTCGTTCCCTGGACGGCGGAATTGTCGAACCAGGCGTCGATCGAGCGGCGCATCTCCAAATTGAAGACGTTCGACATGAAGATCGGCAACAAGCAGAACGTCAAGTTCACGAGCAAAGAGGGTCTGACAATTTTTTCGCGCTTGTTCAGCGGAGCGCCCAGCGGGACCGCGCGCGCACGGATTCTTCCTGGAGATGGGCGCCTTCAATGGGCTCGCGGAGTCCAACTCAGTCTTCTTCGAGTGTTGCCTGGGCTGGACGGGCTTGGGGAGGGCATCCCCGATCATTACAAAGTCATGGTCGAGAACAGCACGAGGCCGCCAACGCACAAACTCAACGTCGCCCCATCTTGTGCGTCCGACAAGGAGCAGGTGCAATTCGTCTTTGGGCTGACTGATTCGGGGCTGGGTGACCTTGCTGGCTCCAACCCTGCGAAGGATGTCGCCGACCTGCACTGCGGGCCGCTTTCCCTGTACCTGCGCGACCCCAACATCACCCACATCGATGTCTTCTCCCTGGGCGTGGGGGGCGCAGAGCTCCTGGTGCTTAAGACGGTCGATTTCAGTAAGGTCAGAATCCCCGTGGTCATGGTGGAGTCATTTGGCAGGGGCTACCAGGCGATCTACCCCAAGCGCAAGGCCTTTCGCGAGCTTGTGGTTTCCAGCGGATACAGGCTGGATGCTGGATTGGGCGGCGCCTGACGCCTGGTGGGTGACGCCTGACGCCGGGATGCGTCGGACGCTGCATCTGCAGTCAGCCTGGCCCTGTGCGAGACTAAGGGATAGTGGGGGACGGTGGCGTTTGGTCGCGCAGCTCTCACCCTGTCCAGCTTGCTGCAGGTGCCCAGTTGTGAAATTAAAAGCAATATGCTGTGAGTGGCCCCGCTGGCTCTCTGCTTGATTAACGTTTCCCTCTCGTCGTTGTTTCGACGACGCGGGGGGCTAAGCGCGCGCGTGCATTCTAAGGCTTGCGAGAAAGGATTCGTTTTCAAAAGGCGAGGGCGAGCAGATAAAACGTACACGGGTCCTATGTGATGCGAGCAGCGATTGCGGTTCAACGCTGATGCACGTGACCCTTTTTCTGGGCAAGGGCCCCAGCCCAGGGTTCTTCTGCGGGCCAAAGGCCCTCCACCAAAAGGGCGTCGAGCAGCAGGCGTCTTCATTGGACATTACATGTGCGGAGGGGGGGCACAACCAGATTCTCTGCACGCGTGCGTTCGGCACATGTTTTTACATGTTTCTGGCCACGACGGGACCGCAGGCGAGGGACCCAATTTAGCCCGCCGGATTCTCCACGTGTAAAAATATTTGTACGGAGGGGGGGTCTCCAACATGAGCCCCGGCACGCGTGCGTTCGGCACGTGTTTTCTTTGAGGTCCGACGCCCCAACAAGAATCGGAGCGGGCGGTTTTTGGCCGTTGTCGGGCTCCAGGGGCCTTGAAGGCCTTGAACGGGCTTCGGGACGGGATCGTCAGAAAACGACCCGGGAAGCAAAGCCGTCCCTAGGGAAGTGGTCCTTGGCCCACGCATCGGAAAAAATTGAAGCAGCCCGCTGTCTGGATTTACGTGTTTCTGGCCACGACGAGGCCGCAGGCGAGGGGCCCAACTCAACCCGCCGTTTTTCACATGTAGAACTATGTGTTCGGGTGGGGGTGTCTCCAACATGAGTGTCGGCACGCGTGCGTTCAGCATGTGTTTTTGTATGTTTCTGGCCACGACGGGGCCGCAAGCGAGGGGCCAAACTTAATCCGACGGCTTTTGAGCACGTAAGAATATGTGTGCGGAGGGGGGAGTCCAATATGACATGAGTGTCGGTACGCGTGCCTTCGGCACGTGCTCTTACGAGTTGTTGGCCACGGCGGGGCCTCAGGCGAGGGGCCCAACTTAGCCCGCTAGATTCTCCACGTGTAAAAATCTGTGTGCGGAGGGGGTGCCCGACATGCGCCTGGCGCGTGCGGGCGGGACACGTATTTTCACATGTCCACGATCCCCAGCGAGGGACCAAACTTAACCCGCTGGATTCTTCACATGTGCATGCGCCTGGTGCAGGCGCGCTGGGCACGTATGTTCATGTGTCCACGTGCGCGGAGGGGGGGCGGAACCAACATGCGCCCAGCGCGTGCGCGCGAGGCATTTTCACGTGTCCACGGCCCCCTGAGGGGGATCCAATTTGGGCGCGGGCGGTACCCATCATGCGCCTGGCGCGTACTCGCATGGCACGTATTTTCACGTGGCCACGGCCCCCAGCGAGGGACCCATGTTGAGCCCGCCGGATTTTTCACACGTGAGAACACGTTACGTGCGCGGAGGGGGGTGTCCCAACATGCGCCTGGTGCGTGCGTGCGTGGCACGACGTAATTTCACATGCCCACGGCCCCCCAAAAAGTACATGCGCGGCCCAGCGCGTGCGCTCGGGGCACGTATTTTCACATGTCCACGGTCCCCAGAAGGGGACCCGCCTTGGACCCGCCGCTTTCTTTACACATGAAAACTACATGCGCGGAGGGGGGGACCCAACATACGCCTGGCGCGTGCACGCGGGATACGTGGTTTTACGTGTCCACAACCCCCAGAAGGGAACCCAATTTGGGACGCTTTGGATTCTCTACGCGTAAAATTCACACTCAGGAACAAATCAATTTGGGCCCGCCAGATTCTTCACATGTGAAGCTGCGTGCGCGGAGGGGAGATGGACCCAACATAGGCCTGGCGCGTGCGCTCGGGGCGCGTATTTGTATGTGTCCACGGCTCTCAGAGGGGGACCCAATTTGGGCGCGTTGGATTCCTCACTCGTGAAAGTACGTGCGCGGAGGGGGAGGGGGGCAACATGGGCTTGGCGCGTGCGCGCGGGGCATGTACTTCTACGTGTCCACGGCCCCCAGGGGTGGACCCATTGAGCGCGTCGAATCCTGTACAATTGAAAATGCGTGCGCAGAGGGGAGGGCTAACATGGGCCCCGCGCGTGCGTGCGTGGCACGTTCTTTCACGTGTCCACGATCCCCCGGGGGGGACGCAAGTTGGGCCCGCCGGATTTTCCAAGCGTGAAAATACGTGCGCGGAGGGGGGGGGGGGGGCAACAGCGCCTGGCGCGTGCACGCGGGGCATGTATTTTCACACGTCTACGGCCCCCAGGGGGGATCCAATTCGGTCGCGCCGGGCGCCGGATTTTTTACACGTGCACAGGCGCCGCTGTGCAGGAGGGAGATGACGATGAGGAGAAGGAATGCGGAGACAGGAGCGTGATGACGAGGAGGAGGACGGGACACAAAGAACAGAAAAAAACGTGGACGAGGAGGAGGAGGAGGAGGAGGAGGAGGAGGACGGTGGGGATGAAGAGGAGGAGGAGGAGGAGGAGGAGGAGGAGGAGGAGGAGGAGGAGCGGGAGGAGGAGCGGGAGGAGGAGCAGGAGGAGGAGGAGGAGGTGGACGAGCAGGACGTGCAGGAGGTAGTGGCTGCAGGCTGGCAAAGGGAAAGTGTTGCACGCGCGTCAGAAGAAAGTTTGACTCTCAAGTTCCTTGCTGGGTTCGTGGATTCCTCAAGTTTTGTTCTGTTGCTCTGCCCCCTGCCAGGAGAGATCAGCCCGCCGGCGAGATGCGGACGTTGAGCTCCATCCTCTGCGCGCAGCGCTGATTCAGGCCGACTCGCCAATCATTGTGTCAAGCATGTGCGCGGAAAAGACGAGACGCCAATCAATTGCATCCGTCTTCGTTTCAGTTTCGTTCCCCTCATCCGCCTCCTCTTCCCCCCCCCAGCTTCTGCTATTCTCTACCCCTCCTCGTTATGCCCTTCCTCTTGATGCCTCAGTCGTTGCTGACACTACATAACCAACGTGTCACATTCTCCGTTGGGATGACTACCTCATCACTTGGGCTCGTTCACCTTGTACTGATCGGGAGCATGTTGCGACTGCCATCACTGGAGCCGACTGCGCAAGAAAGAACACCAAGCACGTGCCAGACGCGCCTTTCTATCGGCGACAGGGTTTGAGCTCTGTGGTGGCCGTTTACACCGCGGTCGTTATTGCGCAATCACTGCCGTTCTTTCTAGTGTCGTGACGCCGGTAGAAGTGGCTATTCAATAACTTATTACGGGGGGCGGCCCAATATTATCCAGGCAAGATCTGGATGAGAGTAGGCGAAGAAGTTGGATGATGCAGCGAGGAGGTGAGACGATGCTGGCATGGATTGGCGCAGGGGGGTGAAGATGCTGTGCCTTGAGGTTTGCCTTTCACCAAACCTACCTTTCTTGTTTCTGATGTTCTCCTTCAAGATTGTCGCCGTGCCTACGCGAATCACCAGCGATGGCAAACTATCAGCGAGCGATTCGAACTGTCGAGTCCTGACAAACGACACCACCCATCACTCTCTTGGAACTTCCGTTGTCATGCAGAGGTGGAGGCTCATGACCACGACTCGCATCGCAGCTCAGAGCAGCTGTCAGAAGCCCTGGTTGGAGCCGAGGGCCGCAGCAACACAATATCCTCGTGCCAGAGGAGGAATCTTAGAAAGCAGGGATAATAACATGCTTGAAGATAAGGACCCTGCCATCGAAGAAGGCAAGACATTATAGACATTACCTTTCGGAGGTCGCGTTTTTTTCTTGGATCGGCGATGGACTTCTTGGCGGCGCCTCCGGCGCCGCCCCTGTCGCTTTGCGCGCGCCAGGGGAGGGGGGTCCAGCGGTCATCCGAGACATCCGCGTGCATCTCCGAAAGTTTATGCTCACGAAGTTGTCGTGTCCTTCTATGCCAGTCATCCCTGCGGAACTCGCCAGCCGGGCCGTGAGTCTGCATTCTCATCGAATCCTATCCTGCACCTGCATGGATATCCGCGCGTCGGTCGGTTCGGCTACTTCGCAGTCGGCTGCGCTCCGTCGGCTCGGCTTGCTCGGGTTGCCGCGCCGCTGCGTCTTTCAGGCTGCTTTCGGTGCATCGGTTATGGTCAGTCTCGGTCTCGCTACCTGTTAGGTCGGCTTTCGACGTTTCAGGTCACGCACGTGGGCACAAAGATAATCGCGATTCGCGCATCGAGCACTGGGTCCGACAGGTGCCCATGTCCAAGTAGGCGCCGTGAGGGCGCGAAGACAGCCACGCGCTGCGCATCGTGGGACGCGATGTGCGAAGTTAGGTGGCTTTGATGGTTGAGTCGCCGTGGACGTCTACGACCCGTGCATGGACTGCAGCGCGCCTCCCTGCTACCCCCCCTGCCGCCACAGGAGCAGAGCGCCCTGCTCGCCGACAGGAGCGCGCGGGAGGCCGCGGGGGAGCGGCGGAACAGCGTGCAGCACGAGGCCGGCTGGGGGGGGCGGAAGGCCCAGACCTCCTCGCAGCGTGGACCAACAGCCGCGTCGCGATGACGTTTGATCAGGTCTGGCGTCGTGGCCAAAGTCGGCCCCATCCGCCGGCCCAGAATAGATTTGAATACCTTGAGATAGTTTGTGATTAATTAGTGGGATCTGGAACGGCTCCTGGGGCGGAAAACGCTCTGCCCAGCAGACTGGCCCCCCCCTCGGGAAACGACTGTTCATTTAGTGTGCGCCGCGTATGCGTTGCTGTCGGCTGCAAGGGGGGGCTCAAACTTGGCGCACTCAGACGCGAGCGCAAACACGCAAGCATCCTGGCTTGCAAATAGGCCCACCAAAGAATTTTCTAAGAACCTTTTGTGGTCTGCGCGGCATATTCTTAGAGCAGTTCTGGCTGAGGCCGTCTTGTTTTAACATATCGTTTGTGTGTGTGTGCGTTCTAAGAACATTTGTTTTGTTATGAGAGCATTTTTGGGTTCTGAGAGAATTCGGTGGTAGGCCTATAGGGATGAGAGGACGGTCGGTCCCTGCTCAATACAGGTGCTGACGCAAGGCCGAGCCCACTCTCAAAGGAAAAATCACCCGATCCCATTGGGGCTTACACCAAAGCCAGCCACGCGCAGAGGGGGTATGGGGAGGCGACTGCAAGGGCGGGGGGCCAAACCTGGCGCACTCAGATGCGAGCGCAGCCACGCGCTACGGGGTGCC